TGGGATTCTTTCACAATCAAAGTATTAGGCGCATATTTAAAAACTGCAGTGAAGCTAGATTTTTTCTGGTAACTAAGGTAAGAGAATTCGAAACAAGAAAGAGCTTACATCTAGTAAGCTTTCCTCTGAACCAGAGGATTATTTAAAGTGTTGAACAAAGATTAAATCTTAAAATATTATTATTTTAGAATCACACTAATAATTCAAAATCCATATTAGGGCAATACCTGAATTATGTTAACTTGCATTTTTTTAAAAAGCCCCCCTCCCCCGATTTTTCTTTTTCACTTTCTTTGGGATTAGTTATTCCTGTTTCTCCTCACATAGTAAGAAATTAGGGTTAGGACCCATTTGAGTTAGCCCTCTAGATCAGAAGCTGAGGTCCATAAGGAAGGCATTACATAGAAACAATGGTTTAAACATGTGGGAATACTCAGAAGCTATTTTCCCTAGTATTAATAGCTTGCATAGTAACAAAATGCAAACATACCTTATTTAATTTTTTTTTGACATAGCATAAAACCCACCATTTTTTAAAGCAAAATAAGGCATGGAATATTACATTTTTGTACTGTTACATACAGTAGCCTTTATAAGCTACTCAACTAATAATAGCTTAAAGACTATAAATATGTTTACTTTTCTTGAAGACCCATTAGGAAGAATTACATGGCTAATGAAAAAACACCTAATTATTCATGCTGTCCTGAATGGCTTTTAAAATGACAGACTAGTATCAAAATATTTATGTTGGCATTATAGTGTTTCTACATTAGCAGAGTCAGCAACAGAGACTGGAACATAAAAAGGGAAGAAACAAAGACAATACAAAGCTAAACTTCTCAAGAGAAGAATTTCCCCTTTAGTTGGTATCTTTCTTCTTTGGGTTTCAAAACGATGACAAGAAAAAAACATTGATAAAGGAAGAAAATCTTATTTGCTGCCAAACTAAAGCCATGCATCAAAATCAGGCATAGTGAGAAGTCCATAAGTACAGACATGTGTGAACTGGTATATCCATATGCTTGTATTCCACCCTGCCCCCAAATACACATACACACAACTGAAGACAAGGGTACTGGGAAAACCTTTTGCATGAAAGTTGATTCATATTTTTGTCTTCAGTTCATTCCTTTTCACATCAAAACCCTTTTCTCCCATTCTATTGAAAACCCAAAATTGCTTATTGATATTTAGATGAATAGGTTTATTTTGCATCATGCTGGAGAGAGTCAAACATAAACTGCATTTGAGCTACAGGCTTGGAAAAAAAATCACCTGTTAGATGGACTCTTGCATCTTTAAAAACAAACACCTAAACCAGGGGTCCTCAACCTTGGCAACTTTAAGACTTGTGGACTTCAACTCCCAGAATTCCTCAGCCAGCTGGCTGAGGAATTCTGGGAGTTGAAGTCCACAAGTCTTAAAGTTGCCAAGGTTGAGGACCCCTGACTTAAACCCTTAAGTTAGAAACACATACAGGATAATTTACTGCACAAACATTGCTTTGAAAAACAAGTAATGTCTACTACTGTTAGTCTTATATCGTGTTATATATTATTATGTTATATTTTTACAAACTATTGGTATTGCACCAACTGCAAACACTACCTTTCAAAAATCTGATCCTAGTAGATCATAGATCCTGCAAAGAACCCCTAAGACAGAAGGTTAATTTCAATATTTCTTTTCTGTATGGCAGGCCACAGAGAGTTTCAGGAGGTTGCAAAGGACTTTAGGAAAGATTAATAAGCCACTTGCCCTCCCTGACCAGAGAAGAATCTATCGAGGAGAATTTAATTCAGAAGATAGAATTCCAAGAAGAATGAAATCTGAATTTGCAAGATCAAAAGGAGTCTGGTTACACCTTTTCCAACAAACAAATATTATTAAAGGGCTAAACTTTCATGAACTACAGCTAACATAATCAGATGCTTGGAGTGGCTAAACTGATGTAGGATTTTATTCTACCATTCTTACAGGCGGTACATAAAATATTGTTTTGTCTCTACATAAAATCCATGGTTTACTGCTTTATAATATTTTCTCAGTTCTTCTATATCTAAATCAGCTTATTTCAAGAACTGTTTCTTTGGGTTAGGGTTTTTTTTCTGCTGAGGTTTTTGTTTAATGTTTCTGTTTTCTTATTTTGTACTGAAATGTAGAATACAAATGTCAGATATATGTTTTAAGTAGAAATCGTTTGTTGGGAATAGCAGTAGCCTCTTATTCAACTGCTACAAGCCCATCTGCATGTGCCAATCAGATCTTCTGTGTTTAATAAATGGAGAATGATATTTATTTATTAAGCAAAGACACTAAAAGGGTTTTCGCAAACACGACAGTAAAAATGGATTGGGGGGATTTAATCAAAAGCAAATACTTGCACAGCAAAGAACAAACAACCTCTCTCTGTTGACCTTCCTTCCATTATGCCTACCAACATGTCACTTAAAGTCTTAGGGGACTTCAACAAAAGACAGTGAAACAATGTCATGGTACACAAAGTTGTTTAAAGCTGAGCCAGTTTTAAAAAAAGCCAAAAAGGATTGCTATTTGTATAAAAACAAAAACTCAAGCAAGTTTTAAACAATACTAGAGAATGAAAAAGCAATATATCAAAGCAAGAGAATAAAGCATTAAATATAACAAATGTTTTCAGGAAATTCCTAATGTAAGATTCCAATAGGAATTAAAGCCAAAATCTTGCCCGCATTTCTCCAGAAGGAGCAAAACTCAGACACCAAAGGATTTCTTACTGATATTCTATGAGCCCAATCAAACTTGAAATTAAACATTCCTATTTAAAATTAAACATTCCTATGCCATCACATGTTGCAACAATTTTACCAGCAACAGGAGTCTTCTGCTTGTCTGCCACACATAAGCTAACTTAAGAAGTCTTTTTCTGGGTTTCAACCATGGGCATATGATCTGTCTGGATCACAATTAAAACAGATCTTGATTGGTAGATTTTCCTGCCTGTTTATGGCTTCTACCTAGGTCAGAAACCAATCACCAAACGTTTCTTTTCCATGGGCAGGTTTCAGGATATGTACTTCCAGCTGGTACTTTGAGGATATGTACTCCACACATAACCAGCATTGGCATTCCATCTTCTGACAATAGAAATCATGTTTGTGTCAAAAAGAATTTTTAAACTGAAAGCCATTCATTGATACATGGAATACAGATACTCCTCGACTTACAACTACAATCAGGGCTGGAATATCAGTTGCTAAGTGATGTGATCATGCCACTGGATTCGATTTCACAACCATTTTACTATGGTCATTAAGTGAATCACCACAGTCGTTCAGTGAATCATGTGGTCATTTAAGCTAATCCAACTTCCTTATCGGAAACCATCTGGGAAGATCACAAATCGCAATCACGTGGCCAGGGGACACTATAATCAGCTGCAAATACGAGCCATTGTCAAGTGCCCAAATTGTGATCATGTGACTATGGAGAGGTGCAATAATCAAAACTCTGAGAACTGGTCATAACTCACTTTTTTCAGGGTTCAACTTGGAACCATTGTTAAACAAACAGCTGTAAGTTGCTGACTACCTGTAGTTTCCGGCGTATAAGTTGCTGACTACCTGTACTTTCCGGCGTATAAGACGACTTTTGAAAGAGTAGAAATCAGCGCCGAAGTCGGGGATCGTCTTATACGCCGAGTCGTCTTATACGTCGGAAATTACGGTAGTTTCTGGCGTATAAGACGACTTTATAGGCATGCGACTCGGCGCCAAAGACGGGGGTCGTCTTATATGCCAGGTCGCCTTATACGGCGGAATATACGGTAATACTAGACAACCCTGGGAGCTGTTAGCTCATCCTCTTGAGAGGAAAGTAGTATAATCCAATGTGATCAGAATAAACATTAAATTTTAGGCTGACCAAAAATGTGCACCTCAATGGTGGATGGTCCCAGGTTCATCTAAGAAGAGATGATCTTATACATTATACATAGAAAAATAATTGTTGTGGCAAATGAACTTTAATAATAAGTTAATGCTTAGTTAGCTAAAATGATAATCAGAATGATCATGAGTGGACAAAAAAGCAGTGGGAGTATCTTCTGATTTCCTGCTGTCTTCCCCATTGACTTTGCTTGTGGGAAGCTGGCAAGAAGCATTAGGAATCACAATCACATGACCATGGGGATATTGAAACAGCCACAGCTTTGTGAATAAAAGTAGTCTGAACACCTTGGAAATTTAAATTCACAAAAGTAATGGGTCCCAGATTTTTTACCCATCCTTAAGTTAGCATATTTTAGATGCCTTGATTCAAAAACCATTGTGGTATAAAGCACGATTTGGCCTAACTTAAGAATACAAACAGAGAAACAGGTAAACATAATGAGAGTTTTAGTAGTATATGAATACATATAATTTTCCAGATTTGAAAAAAATCCACAGATTAAAAAAACCAGCATTTATTCTTTAAACCTATATGTAGGTCAGTGGTGGCGAACCTATGGCACGCATGCCAGAGGTGGCACTCGGAGCCCTCTCTGTGGGCACGCACACCGTTGCCCCGGCCTCGCCTTTACCCGCAACCCCCTCCTCACAAGCAGCCTGCCCGGAGGAGAGGTTCCCCCAGGCGCGGCCCACGCAGAGCAGCGCAGCCAAGCACATGGCAGACAGGCAGCAAGGGCAAGACTCTGCCCTCATACCCCATCATGTGCAGGTGATCCTGCGGGGTGCGGCTGTCATGGCGCTGCAAGGCTGCCTGGGTGATCTGTGGTGAGTGGCCCTGTGGGTGGACAGAGTGGGGGCACAGTGGGGCCAGGCCGGAGGGGCAGGGTGGTTTTTGGGCACTCGGTCTCTAAAAGATTCGCCATCACTGATATAGGTGGTACATTTAGTACACCATCATCTACATATTCTGCTGCAATAGATCAAGTTATATCACATTAGTAGAGATTTTGAAAACTAAAATAATTTGTATGTTTAGAATACAAATTTGAACAAACAAATAAAACTTACCTTGAAAGGACTGTTTGCCTCTGTTTACCAGTTCTTCAATAGAATAGCTTGCTAATTCCCCTCGGGCATGCTTAGTTTTGCAATAAGTACATGCATTGAGACACCTAGAGAAAAAGCATATATATTATTTCATTTTAAAAGAATACATCCACACAAACATCCAGATTATGAAACCTGTTGCTCTGCTCTTGAAAATATATTTATAGACAATTATTGTTGTTATACATAACAGCACATTACTGACAAATTAATCCTTTCAAAATCAAGTTCAATCAAGGCATATATTGCCTCTGAAAAATGATTTGCTTAATAATTGTGCAAACTAGGATATTTTGTCACCGTTGTGCTACTGAATCATTTTTTTGCATGGCAGATAATTTAAAATTAGCCCAGAGTTGCAAAAATCTGATCAACCACTTAATGGAAATAGAGGTCAACATTTTTTGATCTTTGTAGGTCTAGTGGCCATCTGGATTTCTGCCTCCCAGATCAGTAGATCCTAGACTTGGAGTAAAAATAGAATAACAATAGTAAAGCTAAAATAAATATTTTATATTTCTTTAAAAAGTTTGTTACATGGGATATTAATTTATAATTAGTCAATGTTAAATATGTATAGTCAACTGCCTAAGGATTTTAAGTATTGTATCAGGCAGAACAAGTAATAGTTTTAACATACTGTATAGACAAAGTATCTTCAATTTAAATGAACTTCCAATGCCAACTTAATTCTTACCAACAAGCACAAGTCCTATAGCTTCAAAAAGGTGCTTAGAAATTTCAAATGTCAAAATGTTTATGTGTATGTGCTTTAATAAAATTAGAAAATAGTGAAGATGAATCACTGAAGTCTACAGGAACATAGATCTAGTAAGAAGGAAATGAGCAAATTAAGAGGCAATGAAACTGCAAGAGGTGCATTATACCTCACTGCTTAAAGATGAGTTGGTTTTGAGCATTTTGTTTCCAGCCCCATTTCATTATCATCATTAGTTATCAATGTTGACTGGCATAGTGGGGACATAGTAATGCAAAACAGGAACATTTATTTTCACAGTTCTGATTTATGTTTTACTTTCTTCTATATTTTAAAAGCATTATGGATATAGGATTGGCTCAACCAGGAGTGGGCAATTATAGCAACTTTACAATCTGTGGACTTCAACCATGCTGGCTCAGGAATTCTGGGAACTGAAGTCCACAATCATAAAGTTGCCATAGTTGTCCATCCCTGGGCTCAACTTTGTTGTCTCAATTAGTTACAGACATAAAAGTTGACTACTGCCAAAAATGCTCTGAATTCTCCCTCCTTGTACTTGTAATGTTAAAAGAAGTAGGGAAAAGCCCTCTTTCAGAAGCCAAGGTTACAAGTAGGCTTTTCTGCTGGATGTTATAGTGATAACAGAAGTTATATTTAACATCTCTTCCAAATTGTCATCAAACTATTACTTGGCAACTCTGTCCTAAACGGAAATAACAGAAACACAGAGTTAGAATAATAATAATAGTAGTAGTAGTAGTAGCAGTAGTAGTAGTAGTAGTAGTAAAGTTGGAAGGGACCTTGGAGGTCATCTAGTCCAACCTGCCCTGCTCAGGCAGAAAACCCTATACCATTTTGGACAAATGGCTATGCAGTCTCTTCTTAAAAACCTCCAGTGTTGGAGCATTCACCGCTTCTGGAGGCAGGTTGTTCCACTGGTTAATTGTTCTAACTGTCAGGAAGTTTCTCCTTAGTTCTAGGTTGCTTCTCTCCTTGCTTAGTTTCCACCCGTTGCTTTTTGTCCTGGCTTCAGGCGCCTTGGAAAACAGCTTGACACTCTCTTCTTTGTAGCAGCCCGAGATATAGGAACCCTGCTATCATGTCCCCCCTCGTCCTTCTCTTCATTAAACTAGACATACCCAATTCCAGAAGCCGTTTCTCATATGCTTTAGCCTCCAGTCCCCTAATTATCTTTCTTGCTCTTCCCTGTACTCTTTCTAGAGTCTCAACATTGTTTTTACATCGTGGTAACCAAAACTGGATGCAGTATTCCAAGTGTGGCCTTACTAAGACATTGTAAAGTGGTATTAACACTTCATGTGCTCTTGATTCTATCCCTCTGTTAATGCAGCCTAGCACTGTGTTGGCCTTTTTGGCAGCTGCAGCACACTGCTGGCTCATATTTAAGTGATTGTCCACTAGGACTCCGAGGTCCCTCTCACAGTTACTACTATTGAGCAAGGTACCCCCTATACTATATCTGTGCATTTGGTTTTTCTTGCCTAAATGTAGAACCTTGCTTTTCTCACCACTGAATTTCATTTTGTTAGATAGCGCCCAGTGTTCAAGTCTGTCCAGATCCTTCTGTATCTTAAGCCTGTCTTCTGGAATGTTGGCTATTACTGCCAGCTTGGTGTCGTCTGCAAATTTGATGAGTTCCCCATCTAACCCCTCGTCCAAATCGTTGATAAAGATGTTGAAGAGCACTGGGCCCAGAACAGAGCCCTGGGGCACCCCACTACACACTTCCCTCCATGTAGATGCGGTTCTTCTTCTAGTCTTCTAGTCCAACCCCCTGCTCAAGCAGGAAACCATATACTATTTCAGACAAATGGTTGTCCAATCTCTTCTTTAAAATGTCCAGTGTTGGAACACCAACAACTGCTGGAGGCAAGTCGTTCCACTGATTAATTGTTCTGTCAGGAAAGTTCTCCTTGATTCTAGGTTGATGCTCTCCTTGATTAGTTTTCATCCATTGCTTCTTGTTCTGTCTTCAGGTGCTTTGGAGATCGTCATCATAGTAATTCAAATGCATCATAGCAATTCAGATAATCATCAATATAATTCAAATGAAAACTTTATTGTTAGGAAGGGAAATAAAAACAGTTGCTGAAGCCAGGAAGAGTACAAAGGGATAAGAAGAAGGAAGAGAAGCATGAAACTGTAAAACAAAGGTGTTATGAGAATCCTAATTCCATCTTCAGAAGAGGATTCCCTCTCTGTCCCAGGAAGCTGACCACAACAAAGAGAAGATTAGTTCAGTCACAGCCATCAAGCTAGAGCAGTGTTTCTCAGCCTGGACAATTTTAAGGCATGTGGACTTCAACTCCCAGAATGTGGAATTCTGGGAGTTGAAGTCCACATGCCTTAAAATTGTCCAGGTTGAGAAACACTGAGCTAGAGAATGTAGCAACTGTAAGAAGCTAATTTCAACTTGCTTAGCCAAAAACAATTCTGCTCTATGAAGATATATCTACCTCAAAGGCCTACATATTTCATGTTATGTTATAACTCATAGGACTTCCTGTCTTCTGTTGCGTTTCCTGCCTTTTAATTTTATGCAGGAAACCTAGCTAATATGCACAGTTTAGAAACAGCAAATACTAATACAAATTGTGTGGTCTCCTCCATGCACTATTATGACACAGTTATGACAGTAGGTCTGATTCTAGATCAAGCAAAACAAATTCTCTAGGCCTAGAAATTTAATACTGTTATGTGGTCAAGAAAGTAGTCTGGGCTTCTGACAGAGCTTCTAGACACTATGGAAGATAGGTGGACACAACAATCATATCAATGGCTTTGTCCAGGCCTGATGACCTCTTCTAATGATGGTATCTGGTTACCCCTGTTCATTACCATAAAAACTTGTAACATCATTTACCTAATTATGTCACTCCATAACTCACTTTAAATGACTAAATAAACAAATGCTGTGGTTACTATTTTAAGTTGCTAAAGTTCACAGATTTCATAATGTTGAAAAGGAACCCTTAAATCATTGAGGCCAACTTACTCATTAATATTAAAAATTTTAAAAAATGTAAACCATAATACTGAATGTTATACTTAGAAATTTTGATTGGCTCAAACCATGATATTATCACAAGATTTCACAAAGTGAATACAAATTATTTAAAACTCCTGAAAACAGCTAATATATTATGAACACCAAGATTTTAAGATCTGGGTAAAAATCATGTATTTTAATGTTTTAATCTTATAATGACTAGTCCACTCAGGTCTTAATATAATTCTTAATATGATTACTGAGAAATATATTTCCTAATAAGTTATGTGTATTATATTTATTACAAATACAATAAATATAAAAAGAGCCATTGTTAAAAGTTTAACACTTCAGTTATTGAATTAATTATTAAATTAATGTTTAAAATATTAAATGTAATAAAAGAGCCAGTTTGGTCTAGTGGTTAAGGTATCAGGCTAGAAAATCAGGAGACTGGGAATTCTAGTCCCTCCTTAGACACAAAGCCAGCTAATTGACTTCAGGCCAATCACTTTTGCTCAGCCCATAATGTCAGACTTAGATGACAAGCCAGTCTGACAATTCCTGTCACAACCAACTGATCAACACTTGGTTGATCCCCCAAAAATGAATCCTGATTGTAGAAAACTGCTAGAAAAAAAAAATTACAAAAACATTCCAATTTATTATCAGACATTTTGATGCAGCGTCCATATCAGAATATTTTAAAAAATGTAGCATTCTTTTCATGATTGATATTCTGATAGCCACACAAATCAATTGTAAAGTCTAAATCTTATGAAATTTTCTGCAACATTTCTGCAACAATGCCATCAAGTGCTATATGAGACATATAGTTATTTGCCAGCTTGAAGCTATAAAAGATATTAGATCATGTGAATAAGCATGTATTTAAAACGGGTATGAATGAATTAACAGTATCTGATACCCACATCCAGTTCTTGGGATTTATGGAGCAAACTCTGAGAGACCAGCCAAAAAACTTTTAAAGAGATTGAAAAGAAACCCAGCTGCAATTAGAAAGTACTTTCAACATTTTGTTTCATTGCCATGAAAATCGATAATGGAGTCTAATAATCACTTTATAAAATAATCTGCATCCATTCACCCATTTTTATACCAAATTGGAGGTTCCATTATAATGTACATCTGCAGAAATAGGCAGAACAATCATCTCTTCTAGTTCTTTCTATCTTTACTTTTTGTGTCCTTTTTTTTAAAATGTAAGCCTTCTTGACAACATTTATCAACCACATGCACATATTAAACTTACAAGCATGCTGAAGTGAGAACAATTATAAAAGGATTTCATGTCCAAACTGATACAGCAAGAA